TTTCCGACCATTTTCTAAGTTTAACACCACTACAAGAAGCTAACAAATACACTAGGTATCAAGACAGTGTCTATCTAACACTAACTAGCCCGCTAGCAAGCACTATCTGTCTAACTAGTCAGCTAACAAGCACTATCTATCTAACTAGCCTGCTAACAAGCACTATCTATCTAACTAGCCTGCTAGCAAGCACTAGTCAAAAAAGGATATGTTTTATATACTGTATCTCAGGTAGCTTGCCAAAGTTTTGGGCTATTGTTAGTTCATAACCACTATTAAAAACAAATAAACATGCAAGAAAGCATCTAGCTAACAGTAACTAGCCAACTAACTAGCTAGTTAACAAGTGCTATAAATTGAAATTTTATGATTTATATTTTTTTTATGGCATTAGATATCTTTCTGGCACATTTTTAGATTAAACCAGTACTAAGAATTAACAATATATAAAATAAACATGCTAGTTATCAAGAAAGTTTCTAGCTAACACTAACTAGCCAGCTATTAGCAAGCTAACAAAAAGGTAAAGGTTCTAGCTAACACTACTTCTAGCTAACTGTATTAGCCTTGTAGCTTTGGAGTGAAGTTAAAGAAGCAAACCTCAGACGCAGAACGTCTCACAGATCGGCTAAAGGGAGCTGAACTTTTGCTTTTACGTTGATTTTGTTTTTCTTTCAGTGTCACTAATTAGCATGTAACAACACACAGCTCTTGCTAACACTGTAATATTACACATAAAGCTTTCTTAATAAAAAAAAAAAAAGAAGAAATCTTTTCCTTCCACTCTTCACTGATGTTTAATTAGCGAGCCGTGGTTTTAATGAAGTTGACCTTCGTCCGTGTGTGTGTGTGTGTGTGTGAGATGAAGAAGAATCTCACTTCTTGCTCACACTGTTCGTATTTTTCGACTCGTACGCTCAGTGGAAGATTATAAAATGTGTTAAAACACGCTGCTGGATTTCAGGCTCAGGCTAATCGAGTTTTTCAAACACTCTCGTGTTGGTTTAAGATCGCAGGACAGATCTGTTAGCGGCGAGATAAAGTCCAGACGACCTTTTACTCCGGCTCCTCGATCTCGACATTTGAAAAAGCAAATACGGGATTAAATCGTTAAAGTGAGACTCCGTACGACTCTCGGCTCCAGAGAAAAACCTACTTTTAGGCTGTTTTTTTTTTAAATTTTAATGCTATTACTACAAATAAACACAAATACACACGTTAATTATCAAAGACGGTTTCTAGCTAACTCTAACTAGCCAGATAGCTACCTAGCTAGCTAAGAAGCAAACGTTAGCAGTTAAAACAGTTTATGGGTTATACGCCTAATGAAGCTACGCATATTTCTGAGCAGTTTGACTAGTTTAACACCACTGGGGGAAAAAAACATGAATAAATGAATAAACATGCTAGTTGTCAAGAAAGTTTCTCTCTAAAACTGACTAGCCAGCTAGCTAACTAGCCAGCTAGCTTATCTAAGAATAAAAATATAATGGTTTATAGATCGTATGCAACTATTTGGGAGATTACACACCGCTAGTTAAAAAACAAAACAAAACAAAACAACTAATAAACATGCTAGGTTCTAGATGTTTCTAAATGTAAACATAGATAACGCTAACTAGCTAGCTAGCTAGCTAGCCACTTAGCTAGCTAAGAACTAAAAATGTTTCTAACGATTAAAAGGTTTATGATGTTTAGGTTAAGAAGAAGCTAACGGCATTACTAAAAATGAATAAAGAGTTTTTTTCTTTCTGTATTAGGAAACTCTGCATTATTTAAAAATGTTTAAATTTTTACTTCCTGCTTCTTTACTACTTCCTTCTTTTACTTCCTTCACTTCCTGTTCAACCTGCGCCGTGGCCACGCCCCTTGATTATTGTTAGCACCTGGTTCTGTTTTATATTTGTATATATATATATATTTAATGGTATATTATATACCATATTGCATTTTTTAACCATATTGGTCACTTTGTAGGGGTT